CTTCTGCCTGGGAGAAAGCTGCCCCTCCACCTCTCGCCCCAATTTCAGGCAGGTTAGTTCCTCCCCAAGTGTCCGAGGTCCTTTCTAGATGCTGCCCGGCGCTGGGGCTCAGAGGGAGCGCGTCTAAGTGAGTCGGTGCAGGGGCCCCTTAAGAGGAGCTGCCTGGGACTCCTGCACCCTCCTCGACCCTCAGGGACAGTCCCCACTGTTTTTCACAGCCTGGAGTTGTGGGGACATCTCTTCCAGGCCCTGGCATCCTGGGCTGGGGGCCTGCTGTGGGGATGGGAGCCCTCACTCCTCCGGGAAACCCCCACCACCGAGATTCCCTCACGGGTTTAACCCGCGGCACCAGGTGTTTCTCCAGGATTCAGCCCCGATCCACCCACATCTCTGCCCCTCCTACCAGTCTGGATGCTTCTTCAGCTCCCTGGTTGTAGGACTTCTCTTCAGCTAGATTGCAGGAGGTTCTGAGTGATGGTGGTTCTGTATTTTAGTGTAATTTTGATGTGGTTGCAGGAGGCAGCGGGTACAGCAGTTACCTGCACCGCCATCTTGTTTCCTCTGTATTGGCTCTTTTATCATTATGGAATGTCCCAAAAGCCCTGACCTGGGAATTGAACAGGCGACCTCTTGGTTCATTGGTCAACACTCAACCACTGAGTCACACCAGCTGGTCAAGACTCTTCACTATTGACTTGTTGGAACTCAGCCTCCCAGCCCCATTGTGCTCTGGGCACTGTGAAGTCCAGCCTGGCCACTCTGCCCTCGCTATGGAAATGTACCCTCTGCATACCTAGCTCAGAGTCCTGCAGCAGACCGTGGTAAATCAGTCCCCTGTGCGGCCTTTGGGCTCTTTCTCTCTGAAGCACCCGCCTTCTGGCAGCCATCTGCCTTGCAGATTCCAGCTGCCTGTGCTCCTTGCAGTTTACGGCCTGAAAAGTGCTCCAGGCAGGGAGTGGAGCCCTGTGGACCTTGCCTCTTCTGTTCTCTTTTCTCAGTGGCCACAGTGGAAGGGCTCAGGTAGATTTTTAGCTGGCTCGGTAGTTTCAAAGTAGTTTCCTAACTGCTTTTTCCTGGGCAACCTCTTCCAATACTATCCCCTGAGTCTGTGGACTCTATTGCTCTGCATTCTGTGTGCACCAGCTAGTTCTTCTGTGCCTCTTTTCCTGATACTAATTACCTCACCAGCACAGCCAGCAGTGACCACAGACACTGCTGACATTCTGCTTTCTATCTTTTCCCCTCAAGGGACACATGAATCAGCTCCAAAACAGATTCCCCAAATTCAGCCCCCCTTCGACCCTGGTCAGAGGGTCTTCAGCCTATGAGAAGAGCTCCTTCCAGTCAGTCCGATGTGGAGCCTTGGGACCCACTCACACATTGGTCAGGAAAGCTCAAAGTTTCTGGGACCAATTTCTATATACCTCAGCATAGAGAGGACACAGGTGACACCCCACAAAACTCAAAGGTTCCTTTTTTGTACACATAGTGTCAGTCCTACAGTCACCCAGGGACGGAGCTGATAGAGTTTTGTGTCCTCAAGCTACAGCAGTGGAAGGCAATGGGCTCAAATGGGCTCTGGCTCTTATATTTCTTTTATAAAGTTTCATGTGACATCTATATTCACATTTCATTGACCAAAGCCTGAGTCCCAAAGCAGAGAAGGGAGCCATTGGAGGGCAGGAGCAAGAGAAAAAGCCACTGGTTGAATCAACTGGGTCTGGGATTGGGCTGGGTGTGTACTGGGAAACAGAGTGGGGAGGACCTCTCACTGGACCTGTGCTTCTTTCTGACAGGCTACTCCTCAGACCACCTACAAGAGGTGCAGGTGCCTCTGATCCCAGTGATCTTGTGCCAGCTGCTCTATGGACATCCATCATACATTCTGCCGGACATGATTTGTGCTGGGGACATCGGGGATATGAAGACCGTGTGCGAGGTGCATTCCACCGCAGGGACAGGGGACCAAACCCATGGCTTTCATGTTTTCATCTGCTTGGAGCCATCGGGGACACTTGGGTGGGTAACCCCCGAAGGCCTGGCCCTTGCAGGATTCAGAGCACATCACCATGTAACCACAGGCTGGATGGGACCATAAGGTGGCCTAGGTGCAGATGGGACACAGGCCCAATCAGTGCTTAGTGCCCTGTGGACTCTAATGCTGTCCAAAGCAGCCCAGGGCTCTGTGCCTGTCTGAGGGCCTTGCCTGCTAACTGTCACCTTAGGGCACCTGCTCTGTGTTCCCACAGCAGGGCCTGGCACTGACGAGGTGGGGCTGTGGAGTGAAGGGGCTCTGGCTCTGGCCCTACAGGGTTGGGCTCTGTACCACTCTCATGCAGGAAGCAGCAGGCCCCAGTCTCCGGGTTCACAGGAAACTCCTCTTTTCTTCCAGGGTGATTCTGGGGGCCCACTCGTCTGTGAATTCAACCGTGTCTGGGTGCAAGTTGGAATAGTGAGCTGGGGCCGAGGTTGCATGTTCCCTATGTATCCTGCAGTTTACACTCGAGTCTCCTATTTCTCCACATGGATCCAACATCAGATAACACACACACCCCCACCTTGTCAGCCACTTCCCACCCTCTCCTCCACTCTAGGGGCCTCCGTCAGTGTCCTTATGACCATGATGGCCTTCCTGACAATGTTGTGAGCTCAAGGCTCCCACCCTGGCTTCCTCATGCTGCATGCCTCTGTCCTTGCCCGTTTCAGTCCCTTAGGTCTCTGGGCACCTGAGTGAGGTGAGGGCCATCAGCCAGGCCAATTCTGGATGAAGAAGGGGCTGAGCCAGCCCACACCTGAGAGGCAGACCCAGTCTCATCACAGAATCTCAGTGTGCCCCGGGAGAGGAGGTGTCTTGGTTGAGTGCTCTGGCACCTGAGATTTGGTAAGATATTAAATATTTACAAAATGAGCGTCTGTAAATCCTGTGTACGTCTTTCCACCCAGAGTGCTGGCTCCCTTATGCAGACAGAGTGGCTTTGTCAGGATGATAGGCAGCAGGGTGAGAAGAGAATTACAAACCAAACACAGCATCTCTAGAAGGACAGCCACACACACAGACACACACACACACACAGACACACACATCTGGGTCTAGATCCAGGCTCCAGGGAAAGGCAGCGTTTTAATTACAACTATCAGTATCATAGAGTTGTTAAATACTTAAAATTCCAATTCGAAAATTGGGAAACCTGAGCTGAGAGCAAGCACATGGAAGGAACTAAAAAGATAAAAGCAGAAATCAATGAACCAAACAGCAGAAAACACTCAAACTAACATTTTTAAAATCTGGTTTTGAAAAAAATCAAAAAGTAGGCAAAGAAATGACTAATCTAATCAAGATATAAAATGAGACCAAAAATACACAAAAGAAATAACAAGGGGGACGTAGCCATTAAACACAGAAATTTTAAGAAATCATAAGAGATATTATACAACTCTATGTAAGTAAATTTAAAATGAAAAGTATCACTTTGTAGGAAAAAGTAATTGAGCAAAACTAACCCCAGTAGAGATAGAAGGTTTAAGTAGACCAAATTCCATGGAAGAAATGAAGAAATTTAAGAGCTTCCCCCTCCTAGTAAAAGCCCTTGACTCAGATGGTTTCCTTGGAAATCACACCAAACCTTCCACTACAGGATCGTCCCAGTGCTGTCCCCAATGTTCCAGATGCTGACGGAAGAGAGCATCCAGATGCTCCTTAGTAGCACATGTATATAAGGTCATAAATCTGATCACACAGAAAGAGAAGATTGAGACAATTCAACTTATGAATTAAAAAAACCCTAGTGAGATATTATCAAACAGAACCCAACTTTATCTTTTAAATAGTACATTGTAATCAAGTAGGATTTATTCCAGTAATGCAAGGATGATTAAATATTAAACTCACAGATGTAATTCATCACACCTTTGCTTTGCTAAAGAGAATAATATTAGTGAAAAGTCTTTTTTTTTTAAGTTTATATTGCTGATATCATTACAGATGCCCCCTATTTCTCCCCTACATAAGTCTTTTAACAAATCTGAAACTTGTTCCCAATTTTTTAAAAAGATAGGGGTCAATGGGTAATAAGATATATATACCTCGGTCTAAAAGCTAGACAAGTGGGTAATATGGAGTGTATTTCTGCTAATATTAGGGTCAAGGGCAGGCTGCCCCTTGTCCTGCTCCCTTCCACAGAAGATAAGCCGCTGCAGCTGTACCAGAGAACTGTGCCCTGGCTAGTGTTGCTCAGTGATTAGAGCATCAGTTCGTATACCAAAGGGTCGCAGGTTCGATTCTGGTCAAGGGCATGTACCTGGGTTGCAGGTTCGATCCCTGGCCCCGGACGAGGTGTGTGCAGAAGGTAACCAATCAATGTGTCTCTATCACATCAATATTTTCCTCTCTTTCTCCCTCTTTCTCTCTTCCTTCCTCCCTCCCTCCCTTCCACTCTCTAAAAATCAATGGAAAAAATATCCTCAGGTGAGGATTAACAACAACAACAAAAAAGTTTGGAGCATATCCAGAACCCCCAAGAGAAAAATGTGAAACTGCCACAAATAATGAGAAAATTCAGTACAGTCACAAGATAAAACATGACAAAATCAGTCTATATTACAGTTAGAAGACACATTTGAAGAGAAGACACCAAAAGCAACAAAAAAGATAAGGTACCTATGGTCTTAACAAGAGATATTAAAATAGATACAGGAAATCTTTAAAATAGTCATGGGGAAAAATATTTGAATGATAAGAAAGCTCATATTCTCAAACAGATCAAGTCAAAATGTGTTGTTTTTCTCGAGCTAGATAAATTGATTTCAAAGTTTATATAAAAACACAAGCGAGAAAACCCAGGAATAAAACTAAATATGTGGTGGGAACTGATCCAGCACAGCAAATATTCAAAACTCTCATAAAAGTTCCATAATCCAGCAGGCCATAAAGACTTGACAATCTGTGTCTGTGCAGACACACCAGTAGGTAAAACCCTCAGAACTGGGCTCGAGTACATGTGGAAAATTTGTGTATGATAAATGTGTCCATTTAAATCAGAAGTGCAATTTGGCATGACCAAATAGAGTTGGTCCCAGAAGCAGTATTCATTCTGACTAAGACACTTTATCGCAGAAATTTAAGAATGAGTGAACACGAGAATTCCTTCAATAGTTCAAAACATAACTAATCATCCATGCGCTAAGCATGCATGTGATACGCATGGAGTATTTGTTAAGTCCTGCCATGTGTCAGGCCCTGTCAGGGCCCTGGAGTGAAAGTGAGGCACCAAAGTGGTTGTTCCCAAGGCAATGGGCCTTTATGCTGGCATGGGGCTGAGGAGGACCCTCACAGGGCCAGAGCAATGCGTTCCCGTCACTGTGGTTGTAATGTTGGCAACACTTGAGTGTTTTAACAGCAATTGGATAAAACCAACTTTAACTGCATTTGTGTCTTTCCCCACCTCAGTTATCCTTCATTCCCATCCGGGTTCACTGGGGACCCAGCCAAGGTGAAGTCAATGTGGAGGTGCATCTTCCCGCAACACGCTCATTTACATGGTATATGTCCTTCCACGAAGAGAGAAGTAATTGCCAGGCATCTGGGTGCCGCAGTGCTGCAAGGGCCAAAAGCTAGTCCGTAAGCGAGGGTTTAGTTCTTAACTTGCAGGTCAAGATGGAAGCCCTCTGCTGCCAGGAATACACCAGATAATGCAGCGTGTGCATGGTAAACGCAACACACGTGTCCCCGTGTGGATGAAATCACATTACAGAACTTCTTTGAGCCCCTGTTAATTGGCAGAAAACTGTTCGAGCACTGACCATGGGGAACCGGCGGCCACTTCATGCATCCCAGCTGCCCTTCCTGCCTCAGCTCCTCCTCTGTGCCTGCCGCAGCCACGGCCGCTGGTTCCTGCTGAAACAACACACGGACTTTCTGCACAGGCAGCCTACTGCCTGGGAAAGAGTGTCAGTGACCCCCCCACACACACACTCAGCAGTGAGACAAGAGCATCATGTCAGAGAGTGAAGCAGCGACTTCAAACATGTGTGAATTGTTCTAGCGGATACCTTAATGTCAGGTTAATTTGTACATTTTTTCAGTATTATTAGTCATACTAAAATTCAAATAATAGCAGTCAGGGAGTAACCTGGGCAAACGACCAAGAAAAAGAAGCCAAAACTGCAAACTGGAAAGAAGAAAAAAAGACTTCAAAGGGACAAAACCGCTCTTATAATCGCAGTGGAAACCTAACCTCTGATGGTCAAAATCATGAGGAAAATCAGAACAGCTGTCGTGAGAATCAACAGGGTGTAAATGACTAAAGGGCTGAAACAGGTATGAGGTCAGGACACTCCAAGCAGGCACTCAAGGGCCACCAGGGATGTGTGCAGGCCACCCCAAAGGCTGTGTTCATCTTGGTGAGTTTATGCTCTTCAGTGTGACTGTTACTGTGAAATTTATCAGGCATGACTCAAACGGAACATACATTGAGAAGCTTCTCCAACTGATGTTTAAAAAAAATTTTTTAATTCCTCGGAACTTTTTTTTTTTTTTTAAGTTTTTGATTTCAGAGAGAGGAAGGGAGAGGGAGAGATAGAAACATGGATGCCATAGATCAGCTGCCTCCTGCACACCCCCTACTGGGGACTGAGCCTGAAACCCAGGCGTGTGCCCTGACCTGGAATAGAACCAGCGACCTCCTGGTGCATGGCCGATGCTCAACCAACGGAGCCACGTTGGCTGGGCCCTCAGAACTTTTAAAAAAAATATATTTTTATTGATTTCAGAGAGGAAGGGAGAGGGGGAGGGAGAGAGTTGAAACACCAGTGATGAGAGAGAACCATTGATCGGCTGCCTCGTGCATGCGCCATACTGGGGATCGAGCCCGCAACCTGGGAATGTGCCCTGACCAGAAATCGAACCGCCATCTCCTGGATCCTAGGTCGGTGCTCAACCGCTGGGCCATGCCCGGCCTGGCTAAAAATTTTTTAAGTGGTAAACTTTATGATGCCTTGGTAATAGTCTCCAAGATTAAAGTTTTTCACTTACTGTTTTGTTTAAACTATTTTTATTGTGGTAAATATACATAACAAAATTTACCATTTCAATCTTTTTTTTAATAGTTGACAGTAATACAAAAGTCCCCCATTTCCCCTCCTTGGACCCCCTCCACCCACCCTTGCCCCACCCAGGCCTTCACCGCACTATTGTCTGTGTCCACGGGTTACACATATATGTATATAAGTTCTTTGGTTAATATACACTTAGTTCCATGGCATTAAGTACGTTCACATTGTTTCCCAGCCATCACTGCTATTCCAGAACTTTTTCTTCTTCCCAAAGTGAAACTCTGGCCCCACTAAATACTCACTCTTATCCCCTCCTCCCTCAGCCCCTGGCACCCACATTCCACCTCTCTCTCTATGAATCTGACTCCTCTAGAAACCTCCTAAAAGGGGGATATGCAGTATTTGTCCTTTGGTGACTGGCTTATTTCACTCAGCATGATGTTGTCAAAATTCATCCATGTTGTAACAGGTATCAGAATGTACTTTTTTCAGAGTGAATAATGTTTTATCATATGCATATGCTCATTTTATTTATCCATTGATGAACATTTGGGGTTATTTCCACTTTTGGGCGATTGTGGAAATGCTGCTATGCAC